ACCGGAGAGTCTTTTCCAAATGTGACACTGCTGGGCAATGAAACTGTAGACTAACCAAAATTTCTGAATCTGATTCAGATCGTCATCTAACACATTAGAGAAAAAGGCATATGGGTCATCAAACCTGCAAAAATATATATTTGTTTTTCTTTTTCAGTACTGCTTTACTAATGATTTGATCTTTTGGGGAGCTCTCCAAATTTTTTAATTATGAACAAAAGATTACTTTGTAGAAGAATGAGTTATGAAATGGAAATAGGATTTCTCACAATTATTACAGATTCCAAACTCGCATGTCTAGACTAGAGGAAAAAATGACAAGATCCAGTTGTTTGGGGGGGGGGGGGGGATGACAAGATCCAGAAGACAAGGATCTGGGCTAACCACAACTCCTCTCCTAAATAAGAGTTGCTGTACTCTGTGATGGATGCAAGCAATCAAACAAAGAATCAGATGCGGCCTTAAGCACTGGTCTCTTTGTTCCTCTCCCTCCCATTCTCCTGCGGTTAGCTTTTCTGTTTTAACTGTTTCTGTGCTTGACATCAGTTCTGTTATTTGGAATTTTAAGGTACTGCTGAAAATCATCAGGCTGAAAGCTGTTCTCATCATGGACATAGATCTCAGGTTACCTTCTGGTGGCCACGATAAGGATGAAGAACAAAATACAATTGCTGACATATTGGAAGATGAAGAAAAATTGCATACCGGTGATCTAGAAGGCCAGAATATGGTTGGTGCCAGTGTTGATGCGCATGCTCTAGATAGTGGAGATTTGAATTCATCTACAATGGATATGGCAATGTTTAAGGAAGAGACAAATCTTGAGCCCCTTTCTGGCATGGAATTTGAGTCTCATGGGGAAGCTTATTCTTTTTACCAAGAATATGCAAGGTCAATGGGATTCAACACTGCAATACAAAATAGTCGACGTTCAAAAACTTCAAGAGAATTTATAGATGCAAAATTTGCTTGTTCCAGGTATGGAACAAAAAGAGAGCATGACAAATCATTCAATCGAGCCTGTGCCCGACAGAACAAGCAAGATGCTGAAAATTCAACTGGTCGAAGATCTTGTTCCAAGACTGATTGTAAAGCAAGCATGCATGTAAAAAGAAGGCCTGATGGAAAATGGGTAATACATAGTTTTGTGAAGGAGCATAATCATGAGCTTTTACCAGCACAAGCTGTCAGTGAGCAAACAAGAAAAATGTATGCTGCAATGGCTAGACAGTTTGCTGAATACAAAACTGTGGTTGGTCTTAAGAATGAGAAAAGTCCATTTGACAAAGGCCGGAATTTGGGCTTGGAGTCAGGGGATGCAAAGCTTCTACTTGATTTTCTGGTGCAGATGCACAGTATGAATTCAAACTTCTTTTACGCGGTAGATATAGGTGAGGATCAACGTCTGAAAAATGTTTTATGGATTGATGCTAAAAGTAGGCATGACTATACGAACTTTTGTGATGTAGTTTCTTTTGACACCATCTATGTTAGAAACAAATACAAGCTACCTCTTGCGCTTTTTGTTGGAGTAAATCAGCACTATCAATTTATACTGCTTGGGTGTGCCTTAATATCAGATGAAAGTGTTGCTACTTATTCTTGGCTAATGCGGACGTGGCTGAAAGGAGTTGGTGGCCATGCTCCGAAAGTGATCATCTTTGACCATGACAAGGCATTAAAGTCAGTTATTTTAGATGTCTTCCCTAATGCTCGTCACTCCATGTGTCTATGGCATGTATTAGGGAAGGTGTCTGAAAATCTGGCAGGTGTAATTAAACAACATGAGAATTTTATGGCAAAATTTGAAAAATGCATCTATAGGTCATGGACAAGCGATGAGTTTGAGAAGAGGTGGTCAAAAATTGTTGATAGGTTTGGACTCCAAGAGGATGAATGCATGCAGTCATTGTATGAAGATCGCAAGTTCTGGGTGCCAACATTCATGAGGGATATTTTCTTAGGTGGTTTGTCCACCGTCCAGCGATCAGAAAGTGTGAATTCATTCTTTGATAAATATGTTCATAAGAAGACCTCTGTGCAAGATTTTGTCAAGCAGTATGAAGCAATCTTGCAAGACAGGTATGAAGAGGAAGCAAAAGGTGATTCTGAGACATGGAATAAAGCAGCAACATTAAAAACTCCTTCACCATTGGAGAAGAGTGTTGCAGGGAGTTACGCACATGCAGTGTTCAAGAAGATTCAAGTCGAGGTTATTGGTGCAGTTGCTTGTCATCCGAAAGCTGACAGTCAGAATGATGCAGGCATTACTTACAAGGTTCATGATATGGAAAAGAATCAAGACTTCATTGTTGTGTGGAATGAAATTAAATCTGAAGTGTCATGCATATGTCGGTTATTTGAATATAGAGGTTTTCTTTGTCGGCATGCATTGATTGTTCTTCAATATTCTGGCCTTTCGGTAATCCCATCCCAATATGTCTTGAAACGGTGGACAAGAGATGCTAAAGATAGACAAACAATGGGAGAAGAATCTGAACATGTACTAGCTAGGGTACAACGATACAATGATTTATGCCAGCAAGCAATGAAGTTGAGTGAAGAGGGATCTCTATCTCAAGACAGTTACAGTATTGCATTCCATGCGTTGCGTGAAGCATACAAAAGTTGTGTGACTGTGAACAATTCTAGCAAGAGTCCTGCCGAAGTTGTCATGTCAGCTAGTCACAGTCAGCTCTCTGCTGAAGAAGATACCCAGAGTAGAAATATGGGCAAGACAAACAAAAAGAAGAATCCAACTAAAAAGAAAAAGGTTCTTTGTTTTTTTTTTTTTTGGTCTTTTTGTTTGCTTCAGAGCACATATACACATCTATGTTGTGTTGAGTTTATATCATGACCTCTTTGAATTGCAGCTGAACTCGGATTCTGAAGTCATGACAGTTGGGGCACAAGATAACATGCAGCAAATGGTTAGTCCTTCTATGGATGTTAATCTCTAAAATTGTTCAATTTTATATTTTAAGGTGTGGTGTGTGTAGAAGAAAGTCAGGCTACACGGTGGAATATTTATTTAGAGCGAACAAAAATAGAAATATTGAAGTTTAAAATAGAAGCTCCATCTTAGTTAAAAGGATGTATTTGTCTGCTTAGTTTGAAGTGTCTTCAGTTAATTGGAAATTTGTTTTGTAGGACAAATTCAACGCAAGGGCAGTAACCCTTGATGGTTATTATGGCTCTCAACAGAGCGTTCAGGGAATGGTAAGCATATGATACTCTTCAGTTTACCTTTGGTGGTTTCGCATTAGTACCTGGACTAATGTATTTTTTATTTGATTATTGAGTTGAACTTGATGGGACCAACACGTGATAATTATTATGGGAATCAACAGACAATTCAGGGGCTGGTGCGTCTATGAAATTGTGATTAATTATGGAAAGTATTTAGCGCAAGTGCAAAATTTTAGAAACTCTGTTGTTTGAATACAGGGACAGTTAAGTTCCATACCAACAAGCCACGATGGTTACTATGGTGCTCATCAAAGCATGCCTGGTCTGGTAAGGTTTGCTTGCGCTGAACATGAATTTCCTGCCATTGTAATATTTTTGCTGAACTTCATAAATTGTTCCAAAATTTGCAGGCACAGCTTGATTTTTTCCGGGCATCGACAAATTTCACTTATGGCATTCGGGTGAGTTTGGTAAATTAAGTTACTTCCTAGATAGTATTCACTTCCAGACTAACACTATCATGATGGCTCGCTCCTTGTGGCAGGATGATCCAAATGTAAGACCGACACAATTGCATGAGGACCCATCAAGACATGCATGAGTATATGTAACATGATACAGAATATCTGTTGTTTATTATAGATCTTGTTAATAAATGGTTAAAGGGTGTAGTGATAAAGATATGGTAGAGGTGGTTGGTTGTATTGTGGTTCTGATTCTTTAGGCTGCATGTAAAATTGTAATCAGTATTGTCGTTTGTCATAAAAATTTTCAAATGTTCTTCATTTTCCACGAGTTCATATTTAGTTTATCATCACTTTCTTTAGCTTCTTTCCTCCAAGATAACTAGTCAAAATTTGTGCGTTAGCGTTTACTGGATGCCCGAATGGTTACTGATTTGATTTTCTCTTTTTAGTGATGAATTTATTTCCAATTTTCTCTTAAAAAATAGGTAGAATTACAAGATTACCCATATTTAGATAGAAATTGTTGTATCATTTCGTACTTCCTCACCAGTTGCTCATGTTGACTAAAATTTTAGTAGTGTAACAAAATATTGTTGTTCCCATAAAAATTATTTGTAGGTTGATACAAGTATTTAAATAATTAGTTGATATCTAACAATTTTCTGCTTTCAAAGATTTAATTTGTTATTTGTTCTTGGTTACTGCAAAAGTAAATTATTAATTATAGTACTGTATTTTGATTTTTTAGACCCAATTATAGTATTTTGATTGCCAAAAAAAATTTCGGTTATAATAAAAGAACCGAAATACATATATAGTATATTTATATTTAACAAATATTATTATAGTAAATGTGTACGAGTGGCTGGGAGCTCTAACGATGGGTTAAAATATATTTATATTTAATTATAATAAATAATATTAAACAATTGAATATGATTAATTAGTGGTTGTAATTGTAATTTATTATGTTTTTCTTATTTAAAGTTACCTTTTGGTTATTAATGGAATTGAAGTATCTTAGTTAATTCGATTTTCAAATTAATTGGTTTCAATTCAATGTTTAAAATTATTTAATTTGATTTTTTGGTTAATTTGATTATGATAGAAAAGTCAGACACCCACCTTTATTTTACCCTCCAATTAATTAACTTGTACAAAATAAATGTAAGGAATAAATTGCTTAGAAGTAAAATGATTTCCTTCTTGATTTTGTTAGACTGCGCATCACATTAGCCACTGTCTCAAAAAACCAATTAATCCGAAAATCATATAATTATAAAAATTAATAATATAAAGCAATAGGATTCTGGATTATCCCACCCTAGGACCTATCCGAGGAAAGCTTTAACGCCGAATTCTCAGCTGTAGTCTTTGTTGAAGGATGTGAATTTCTGAATGCAACTGAAGATGTCATTTTGCAGACCTCCTTCACGGTACGTCTTCCGATTTCCTTTGTTTTCTGCAGCGCCTACGTCTACCTTCCTTCTTTCTCACCCGCATGCCTTTACTCTCCATTTCTGTTTCCATTCCAATCCTACCAGTACTCCCAACATTGAAGAGGCTGTCTCTTCTTTTAATCGCCTGCTTCATGTGCGCCCCCAACCCTCGATAATCCAAATCACTAAGATCTTAGGATATGTTGCAAAGTTGAAACATCATCGAACAGTTATCTCTCTTTTCTCACAAGTGGAATCTAAGGGATTCACGCCATCTTTGGTTACGCTGAACATCTTAATTAACTGTTACTGCCATTTGGGTCAAATGACTTCTGCTTTCTCTGCCTTAGGCAAGATTCTTAAGATGGGCTGTCAGCCAGATACGATTACTTTGAATACGCTAATGAAGGGCCTTTGCATCAATAATGACGTTGGGAGGGCATTAGATTTTCATGATGATCTGACAGCAAAAGGTTTCCAGTTAAATGTTGTTAGCTACAACACACTGATGAATGGACTGTGCAAGATTGGAAAAACAAGGGCTGCTGTTAAATTACTCCAAAACATGGGAAGAGGGCCAGTTAAGCCTAATTTAGTTTCTTATAATACAATTATTGATGGCTTTTGCAGAGAAAGGCTCATAGCTGAAGCCTATGATTTATTTCATGAAATGATTGATCATGGAATATCTCCTGATGTTGTGACCTACAGCTCTCTCATAAGCGGTTTTTGCGTCCTTGATAAATGGCCAGAAGCAGCAAAATTGTTTAATGAAATGAGACTTAAAGACATCAACCCTGATGTGTGTACTTTTAGTATATTGGTCGATGCATTTTGTAAGAAAGGAAATATGACTAAAGCTGAGGCTATCGTTGCCACGATGATGAAGTGCGGTGAAAAACCTGATGTTGTTACTTATAGCAGTTTAATGGATGGGTACTGTTTGATTAATAATGTTTTTGAGTCAAAAAGACTATTCAACAAGATGGTCAAAAGTGGTTTGGCTCCTTGTGTTATTAGCTATAGCATTTTAATTAATGGACTTTGTAAAATGAAGATGGTTGATGAGGCCATGAATCTCTTTAAAGAAATGTGTCGTAAAAGCTTTATTCCCGACATCGTCACTTACAGCTCCCTTGTTGACGGTTTGTTCAAGTCAGGTAGAATCTCTGACGTGCAAGATATTATCTATGAGATGCATGATAGAGGTTGTGCCCCAAATATAGTATTTTATAGTACCTTGTTAGATGGATTGTGCAAAAGTCACCATCTTGACCAGGCAATTTCATTATTCAAGCAAATTGTTAACCAAGGAATTCGGCCTGATACTTATACATATACCATACTTATTGATGGTTTGTGTGAGGGCAACAAACTAAATGATGCGCGACAGATTTTCCAACATCTTTTGGTTAATGTTCATCCTTTGAATGTCCAAGCATACACTGCTATGATCAAAGGACTTTGTAAAGAGCATTTGTATGATGAGGCAAAGGCTTTGCTTTATAAAATGCAAGAGAATGGGTGCTCGCCTAATCTTGTAACTTTTGAAACAATTATTATACCTCTTTTGGAAAAAGGTAAGAATGATGAGGCAAAGAATCTGATTGACGAATTGTTCCTCAAGGTCTCTTGAAATGATAGAAGAAGGTTAGTCACTTACCCCAAGATTGCGTTACTTGTGTTCATGATGGAAAAAGTTGACACATTTTTGTAGGAAAAAATTTGCACTATTATTACTGATGTCAATTGCATTTTTTTTTCAGTCATATGTTCATATGTATTTAGTTTTAACTTTTGTTGTAACTGGTCGTTTGTTTAGTTTTTTTGGCTTGACATGTGTTTGATGCAACACGCTCACACACGCTAGCATGTATCACCGAAATGATGCCTTGAATTCCTGTCCTCTCTATAGTATATATCCGTCAGATAGCGCACCAAACGTAACTCACTCTAGTAATTCCTCTCCTCTCTTGCCTTTAGTTGCTTATTTTCAGGTATGGAACAGAAAGAGAGCATGACAAATCATTCAATCGACCGCATGGCTGACAGAACAAGCAAGATGCTGAAAGTTCAACCGGTCGAAGATCTCGTTCAAAGACTGATTGCAAAGCAAGCGTGCATGTAAAAAGAAGGCCTGATGGAAAATGGGTAATTCACAGTTTTGTGAAGGGGCATAATCATGAGCTTTTACCAGCTCAAGCTAAAAGTAGGCATGGCTATATGAACTTTTGTGATGTGGTTTCTTCTGATACAATCCACGTTGTGAACAAATATAAGTTGCCTCTCTTGCGCTTTTGTTGGAGTAAATCTGCACTATCAATTTTTACTGCTTGGGCGTGCCTTAATATCAGATGAAAGTTGTAACTTGATCCAGAACATCTGTTGTTTATTACGGATCATGTTAATAAATGGTAGAAGGGTTTGGTGTTAAAGATCTTGTAGAGGTGGTTGGTTGTACCGTAGTTCTGATTCTTTAGGCTGCATGTTAAGCTGTAATGAGAGTATTGTAGTTTGTCATGAAAATTTTCAAATGTTCTTCATTTTCCATTAGTTCATATTTCATTTATCGTCACTTTCTTTAGCTTCTTTCCTGCCAGTTAAAAGGAGGAATTCCTACATACACTCCTTGCAATTCAGATAAGTAGTCAAAATTTGTGCATTAGCAGACGCCATGATGCTTTCTGATTTGAGTTTCCTTTAGTTCCTTACTCATTTACAGAGAAGGAATGAATGAAGGACAAAAATCAAGGCATGAAATAAATGTAATGGCTTTGATTCAGTTATATAAACTGCATGATGCTATTTATGCTTTATGAATTACATCTCTGTAGAGATATTTATTAAGAGATTCAGTTCAATGGCTTCCTTGAGTATCTTTATGAGCTTTACTAATTTTCATAGGATTGAAGATCATATGCTCTGCGCACACCTCTCATTTTTGCCACTCTAACAAATAAAATTCATAAGCTTCTTTGTGAAAGACGGTACATGTGCTATTGAGCCAAAAAGTTATTAGCAGTCATGGATAAAGTTTTGCAAGGCACAATAAATCAGTTCACATTAGAGTTCCAAAAGTATGCAGTCTATCGGTGGATTAATACTTCAAAAAGATCCTACCTAAATTATATAGAGTTAAGGTGCAAATTTGTCTTGAGAGTTTTTACCTTGGAGCATTAGGCATTTGAAATGTTTTTTTTTTAATTCAATATTACTCCGAAAATTTGAAATCGTAACAATTTTGAGTCGTACTGTTAAAAAATTAATGTTGACGCTTAAAATAATAACATTGACCATTAATATTTTTAACGGTATGGGACAACAATTATTATAATATTTAACCTTCTGGGATAACATTGAATCCAAAAAAATTTCAAGCGTCTCATACTCCTAAATAAAAACTTGTTTAACAAATTTACACCTTAACCATGTTATATATACTAGGCGTTTTTCTAATCATCATTCACTTGTGTATGTGTGTGAAAAAGGCAGTTTAAACTAATTCAAGCATTTTATGTTAAATTATTAATAACTCTAAATTTTATATTATCTACAGATAAATTTTCTAGTCAATGAAACTTACAATAAACCTGCTAATATATTATGTGGATGCATATGATCTTCCTGCAGTGAACTTAAAATTTTAGAAAATTATTTGCATATAACTCAGAATTTGATGTTATATACGTACGAAAATAAAATTTAAGAGAGCATATAATTAATGATTAGGAGGTTTTTTTAATTAGTTTTAAAGGTCGCGAATTTTATTGGTATGTTATTTAAAGTTTAACAGAATTTTGTGAAATTCATCTTAAATTTTTTTGAAAATTATTTTTGTTATTTTTTCTGAAAATGTTACTTCTTTCCAATTTTATCATTATTAACTATATAATGATAGAGTTTCCAAAACTATTCTGTAGCTTACGTTATAAAAAAAAAGGATAAATTCAGAAAAAAAAATAGTTAACATTACAAGATTAGCTATTTTGATAGAAACACTGTTTTCAGAAACTATCTTTTTTTTTTTTTTGGGTACTGTGAAATTGTCTTACGTTTACGGATAGGGAGGATTTGTATCCCTTTGTACTCACCCACCCAATTGCCCATGTTGATTTAAATTTTAATAGCAAAACAGAATAAAGTTAGATTTTTAATGTAAAAAAAGAAAATCTCATTACTATTTTATAATAATGTGTCACTTTTGTATTTTTCTGGTTCCATAGTGTTGTGTTGATAAAAAAATATATGAGGTTGATACAAGCATTTAAATAAGTTACTAGTGTCTAATAATTTTCTCCTTTTAAAGAGTTATTTTGTTATTTATGCTTGACTATTGTTATTCATAATAACTTGGATCTTTAATATAATATTCGAGTTAACTTATTTAGAAGGATTAAGAAAATTAAATAAATTATTTTAAAAATTTATGTTTTTTCTTTTTCTGTAAACTAATTTTCTTAAATTATAAACAAATACTACATCTGATCGTTAATATAAGAGTTAGTTTGACTTTTAAATTGATTCTAAATATAAGACTCTAATTCATTTTGTCTATCATATTTATTTATTATTTTCAATATAGTTATTATAGTAGTTGCACATATTAAAAATTTCACCAATTGGTAGCTTCAGCTAATATACTTGATTAATAAGTTTATTTTAAAAAAAATATCTATTTATTACAAATAACTAATCTAACTGATTTTTTTAGTAATCTAGCTCTTATATTAAGAACTGAAAGTAGTATATAATATGTGAACCTAGATACTCCTCCGGTCCTTAATATAAAACCTATTTAACTAATTTGATTATATTAAGGAAGTTAGGTAAGTTAGTTAATTATAAGAAATGTGACATGTTTTTCCTAAAATACCATAATCATCTTTTTTAATACCCTTCTCCCTCTTCTACTTGATTATGGTTGAGGGAGTATCCATAAGGGTAATTTAGTGAAAATTGATAAATATGAGAAACGGGTTTATATTTAGAACCAAAACCAACTTAATAATTGGGTCATATATTAAGGACCGGAGGAGTATATAATCTAATGATACGCTAAAAAATTTCATATGTTCATATAATATAAGTCATTTAATTATAATTTATTTAACTTATTTAATGTCACTTTTGATTGAAATTTTAATGTTAGTATAGACACATATATCTCGTGGCCAAAAATTAGAAAAACAAAATAGAGACATGCATGTCAATAGACCCCCCAGCCCTTTTTCTCTTTGAATGAAGTCAAAATGATACAAATAATAATTTTTTTGCCAACGATATAAATAATAAAAATGCCTTGCTTTCCTTGCTTCTTTTAAAAGTGATAAATAAATTAAAAATAATAATTCTCATACATGGATAAGATTAAAATTGAAACCAAATTGGAATATTCTTAAATTAACCTATAATAAATTGAGGTAAAAAAATTAACTTATAAAACCTAGGGTGGCCAAAAAAAAAACTATAAAACTTAGGCTGGCAAAAAAATTACTTAGAATTAAAATAATTTCCTTACTGATTTTTTTTTATTTGCTAAAATGTTATAATTAAGAAAAATTTGTAATATGGTGAAAAACAAAAACAAAATCACTAAGTCAGTAATAAGAGGGCGATAGGATTCTGAATTTTCATACGGCAGAACCTATCCGAAGAAAATTTCGGTGCGTCTCTGGTGGCAGGAACGCCTTCGTCTTCCTCGTTGAATTCTCTTTTTTTGGAGGAAAGACGACAAGCCGTAGCTTGGAGACTGAAACGAAAATAAAGAGACTACAAGCGAAACAAAAAAAATAAAAAACCAACAAGACTACACGGAGACAGCAAGCTCCCAGCTCAGACACCTTGCAGGTCTTCTAGCACCATATTTCCTCGTTGAATTCTTTGTGGAAGGATCTGAATTTCTGAATGCAACAAGATGTCATTTTGCAGACCTCCTTCACGGTACGTCTTCTTCCGATTTCCTTCGTTTTCTGCAGCGTCTACGTTTCCGTTCCTTATTTCTCCCCGGCATGCCTTTACTCTCCATTTCTGTTTCCATTCCAATTGTACCAATCCTCAGAATATTGAAGAGGCTCTTTCTTCTTTTAATCGCCTGCTTCATGTGCGCCCCCCACCTTCTATATTCCAAATCACTAAGATCTTAGGATATGTTGCAAAGTTGAAACATCATCGAACAGTTATCTCCCTTTTCGCACATGTGGAATCTAAGGGATTCACGCCATCTTTGGTTACACTGAGCATTTTAATTAATTGTTACTGCCATTTGGGTCAAATGACTTCTGCTTTCTCTGCCTTAGGCAAGATTCTTAAGATGGGATGTCAGCCAGATACGATTACTTTGAATACGCTAATGAAGGGCCTTTGCATCAATAATGACGTTGGGAGGGCATTAGATTTTCATGATGATCTGACCGCAAAAGGTTTCCAGTTAAATGTTGTTAGCTACAACACAATGATGAATGGACTGTGCAAGACTGGAAAAACAAGGGCTGCAGTTAAATTACTCCAAAACATGGGGAGAGGGCCCGTTAAGCCTAATTTAGTTTCTTATAATACAATTATTGATGGCTTTTGCAGAGAAAGGCTCATAGCTGAAGCCTATGATTTATTTCATGAAATGATTGATCATGGAATATCTCCTAATGTTGTGACCTACAGCTCTCTCATACAAGGTTTTTGTGTCGTGGATAAATGGCCAGAAGCTGCAAGATTGTTTAATCAAATGAGACTTGAAGGCATCAATGCTGATGTGTGTACTTTTAGTATATTGGTCGATGCATTTTGTAAGAAAGGAAGTATGACTAAAGCTGAGGCTATCGTTGCCATGATGTTGAAGAGCCGCAAAAGTCCTGATGTTGTAACTTATAACACTTTAATGAATGGGTACTGTTTGATTAATAATGTTAGAGAGTCAAAAAAACTATTCAACAAGATGGTCAAGAGTGGTTTGACTCCTAGTATTATTAGTTATAACATTTTGATTAATGGACTTTGTAAAATCAAGATGGTGGATGAGGCCATGAATCTCTTTAAAGAATTGCGTTGCAAATGCTTTATTCCTGACATATTCACTTACAACTCCCTTGTCGACGGTTTGTTCAAGACAAGTAGAATCTCTGATGTGCAAGATATTATCCATGAGATGCATGATAGAGGTTGTGCCCCAAATATAGTATTTTATAGTACCTTATTAGATGGATTGTGCAAAAGTCACCATCTTGACCAGGCAATTTCATTATTCAAGCAAATTGTTAACCTAGGAATTCAGCCTGATACTTACACATATACCATACTTATTGATGGTTTGTGCGAGGGTAACAGATTAAACGATGCACGGCAGATTTTCCAACATCTTTTGGTTAATGGTCATCCTTTGAATGTCCAAGCATACAATGCTATGATCAAAGGACTTTGTAAGGAGCATTTGTATGATGAAGCAAAGGCTTTGCTTTATAAAATGCAAGAGAATGGGTGCTCGCCTGATTTTGTAACTTTTGAAACAATTATTATACCTCTTTTGGAAAAAGGTGAGAATGATGAGGCAAAGAATCTGATTGACGAATTGTTCATCAAGGTCTCTTGAAATCATAAAAGAAGGTTAGTCACTCTACTCGAAGATTGCGTTACTTGTGTTCATGATGGAAAAAGTTGACACGCATTTTCATAGAAAAAAATTTGCACTGTTCTTACTGATGTCAACTGCGTATTTTGTTTAGTCATATGTTCATATGTATTTAGTTTTAACTTTCGTTGTAACTGGTCGTTTGTTTAGTTTTTTTGGCTTGACATGTGTTTGATGCAACACGCTCACACACGCTAGCATGTATCACCGAAAGGATGCCTTGAATTCCTGTCATCTCTATAGTATATATCCGTCAGATAGAGCACCAAACATACCTCACTCTAGTAATTCCTCTCCTCTCTTACCTTTAGTTGCTTAGTTTCAGGTATGGAACAGAAATAGAGCATGGCAAATCATTCAATCAACCGCATGGCTGACAGACCAAGCAAGATGCTGAAAGTTCAACCGGTCGAAGATCTCGTTCAAAGACTGATTGCAAGGCAAGCTTGCATGTAAAAAGAATGCCTGATGGAAAATGGGTAGTTCACAGTTTTGTGAAGGGGCATAATCATGAGCTTTTTCCGGCTCAAGCTAAAACTAGCAATGCCTATATGAACTTTTGTGATGTGGTTTCTTCTGATATAATCCATGTTACGAACAAATATAAGTTGCCTCTCTTGCGCTTTTGTTGGAGTAAATCTGCGCTATCGATTTTTACTGCTTGGGCGTGCCTTAATATCAGATGAAAGTTGTAACTTGATCCAGAATATCTGTTGTTTACTACGGATCATGTTAAGAAATGGTAGAAGGGTTTGGTGTTAAAAGATCTTGTAGAGGTGGTTGGTTGTATTGTAGTTCTGATTCTTTAGGCTACATGGTAAGTTGTAATGAGAGTATTGTAGTTTGTCATGAAAATTTTCAAATGTTCTTCATTTTCCATTAGTTCATATTTCATTTATCGTCACTTTCTTTAGCTTCTTTCCTCCCAGTTAAAAGGAGGAATTCCTACATACACTCCTTGCAATTAAGATAAGTAGTCAAAATTTGTGCATTAGCAGACGCATTATACTTTCTGATTTGAGTTTCCTTTAGTTCCTACTCATTTACAGGGAAGGAATGAATGAAGGACAAAAATCAAGGCACGAAATAAATGTAATGGCTTTGATTCAGTTATATAAACTGCATGATGCTATTTATGCTTTATGAATTACATCTCTATGGAGATATTTATTAGGAGATTCAGTTCTATGGCTTCCTTGAGTATCTTTATGAGCTTTACTAATTTTCATAGGATTAAAGATCATATACCCTGCGCACACTTCTCATTTTTTTGCCGGTCTAGCAAATAAAATTGATAACCTTCTTTATAATAGAAGGTACATGTGCTATTGAGCCAAAAAGTTATTAGCAGTCATGGATCAAGTTTTGCAAGGCACAATAAATGAGGTCACATTAGAGTTTCAAAAATCTGTAGTCTATTGGTGGATTAATATTTCAAAAAGATCCTACCTAAATTATATATGGTTACGGTACAAATTTGTTTTTAGAGTTTTCGTCCAGGATCATTAGGCATTTGAAAGGCTTTTTGAGTTCAATATTACTTTGAAAGTTTGAAATCGTAACAATTTTGGTTCCCTATTGTTAAAAAACTAACGTTGACGCTTAAAATAAAAACATTAACCGTTAATGTTTTTAACGGTATGAGACAAAAATTGATACGAAATTAAACCTTCAAGAATAATATTGAGCCTAAAAAAAAATTTCAAACCTTCAAGAATAATATTGAGCCTAAAAAAAAATTTCAAATGTCTGGTGTTTTGGAGTAGAAACTTAGTAGGTGAATTTATAACTTATCTTGTTATATATACTAGGTATTTTTCTAATCATCATTCGCTTGTGTATGTGTGTGAAAAAGACAATTTAAACTAATTCAAGCATTTTATGTTAAATTATTAATAACTCTTAAGTTTTGTGTTATATATTGATAAATTTTCTAATCAATGAAACTTATAATAAACCCATTAATATATTATGCGGATGCATATGATCTTGCAATTAGTTGTTTGATAGAAACACTATTTCCAGCAACTGTCTTATGTTTGTTTTTTTTTTTTTTTTGGACGGTGATGTTGTCTTGCATCTACGATTTGAGAGTATTTGCATCCCTTTGTGCTCACCCAACCAATTCTCCATATTGGTTTAAATTTTAATGGCAAAACAGAATAAAGTTAGATTTTCAGTTAAAAAAAGAAAATATCATTACTATTCTGTAATAATGTGTCACTTTTGTATTTTTCTGGTTCCATAATGTTGTGTTGACTTTTTGCCAGCCATAATGTTGTGTTGATGAAAAATATGAGGTTGATACAACTATTTAAACAAGTTACTGATATCTAATAATTTTCTCCTTTTAAAGAGTTTTTTTTTAACCAGAAATTTTAAAGAGTTATTTTGTTATTTATACTTGACCAGATAAACTATCAACTATACTAACTTGGATCTTTAATATAATATTCGCGTTAACTTATTTAAAAAGATTCAGAAAATTAAAGAAATTATTTTAAAATATTTATATTTATTATTTTTTTAAAACCAAATTTTTTAAATTAGAAACGAATACTACCCTTATCCTTAATATAAGAGCTAATTTGACTTTCAAATTAGTCCTAAATATAAGACTCTAATATTATTTATCTCTCATATTTTGCTATTTTTCTAATGTAGTTATTAGAGTAGTTATACACTACATTAGAGTAGTTATACACATTAAGAGTTTCACCGGTTGGTAACTTTAACTAATACAATAAGTATATTTTAAAAAAGATATTTATTTATAACAAATAACTAACCTAACTAATTTTTTTAATAAACTAGTTTTTATATTAAAAATAGAAAGTAGTATATAATATGTGATCATAAATGTATAATCTAATCTTCACCAAAAATATATATAATCTAATGATACACTAAAATATTTCATATAGATCATATAATATAAGTTATAATTAAATAATTTATCTAACTTATTTAATCTCATTTTTATTGAAATTTTAATGTTAATATAGGCACATAGATCTCGTGGCCAAAAATAAAAAAGTAGAGACATCCATGTCAATGATCCCCACCCCCTTGTCCTTTTTGAATGAAGTCAAATGATACAAATAATAATTTATTTTGACAACGATATAAATAAAATGCCTTGCTTTCCTTGCTTCTTTTAAAAGTGATACATAAATTAAAAATAATAATTCTCATATATGAACATGATTAAATTTGAAACCAAATTGGAATATTCTTAAAATTAACCTATAATAAATTGAGGTAAAAAATTAACTTACAAAACTTAGGTTGGCAAAAAAAACTATAGAACTTAGGCTGGCGAAAAAATTACTTCGAATTAAAATAATTTCCCTACTGATTCTTTTTTTTTTTGGGCATTATTACTGTCACGAAAAGCTAATGCTAAAATGTTATAATTAAGAAAAATTAGTAATATGGCGAAAAACAAAAACAAAATCACAAAATCAGTAATAAGAGGGCGATGGGATTCTGAATTTTCATACAGTAGAACCTATCCGAACAAAATTTCGATGCGTCTCTGGTGGCAAGAACGCCTTAGTCTTCCTCCTTGCATTCTTTGTTGAAGGATCTAACTGAAGATGTCATTTTGCAGAGCTCCTTCACGGTATGTCTTCTGCCGATTTCCTTCGTTTTCTTCCGCGTCTACGTCTACCTTCCTTATTTCTACTTCATATGCCTTAAGCCTCCGCCTCTGTTTACATTCTACAACTCTTCAGAATATTGAAGAGGCTATCTCTGCTTTTAATCGCCTGCTTCATATTCGCACCCCACCCTCTATATTCCAAATTACTAAGATCTTAGGATATGTTGCGAGGTTGAAACAATATCCTACAGCTGTCTCCCTTTTTGCACAAGCGGAATCTAAGGGATTCACGCCATGTTTGGTTACGCTGAACATCTTGATTAATTGTTACTGCCATTTGGGTCAAATGACTTCTGCTTTCTCTGCCTTAGGCAAGATTCTTAAGATGGGCTGTCAGCCAGATACGATTTCTTTGAACACACTGATGAAGGGCCTTTGCATCAATAATGACATTGGAAAGGCCCTAGATTTTCATGATGATTTGATAGCAAAGGGTTTTGAGTTAGGTGTAGTTAGCTATGGCACAATGATAAATGGACTATGTAAGGCCGGCAAAACGAGAGTTGCGGTTAAATTGCTCCAAAAGATGACGAGAGGGCCAGTTAAGCCTGATTTAGTGATGTATAGTATGATTATTGATGGATTTTGCAAGGAGGGACTGATAACTGAAGCCTATGATTTATTTTGTGAAATGATTGATCGTGGAATATCTCCTAATGTCGTGACCTACAACTCTCTCATGCATGGTTTTTGTGTCATGGATAAATGGCCGGAAGCAGTAACATTGTTTAATGAAATGAGACTTAAAGACATCAACCCTGATGTGTGTACTTTTAATATATTGGTCGATGCATTTTGTAAGAAAGGAAGTATGACTAAAGCTGAGGCTATCATTGCCACGATGATGAAGTGCAGTGAAAGACCTAATGATGTTACTTACAACACTTTAATGGATGGGTACTGTTTGATTAATAATGTTTTTGAGTCAAAAAGACTATTCAACAAGATGGTCAAAAGTGGTTTGGCTCCTTGTATTATTAGCTATAACATTTTGATTAATGGACTCTGTAAAATGAAGATGGTTGATGAGGCCATGAATCTCTCTAAAGAAATGTGTCGTAAAAGCCTTATTCCCGACATTGTCACTTACAGCTCCCTTGTTGACGGTTTGTTCAAGTCAGGTAGAATCTCTGATGTGCAAGATATTATTTATGAGATGCATGATAGAGGTTGTGCCCCAAATATAGTATTTTATAGTACCTTGTTGGACGGATTGTGCAAAAGTCACCAGCTTGACCATGCAATTTCATTATTCGGGCAAATTGTTAACCAAGGGATTCGACCTAATACTTACACATATACCATACTTATTGATGGTTTGTGCGAGGGTAACAGATTAAACGATGCATGGCAGATTTTCCAACATCTTTTGGTTAATGGTCATCCTTTGGATGTGCCAGCATATAATGCTATGATCAAAGGACTTTGTAACGAGCATTTGTATGATGAGGCAAAGGCTTTGCTTTATAAAATGCAAGAGAATGGGTGCTCGCCTGATCTTGTAACTTTTGAAACAATTATTATACCTCTTTTGGAAAAAGGTGAAAATGATGAGGCAAAGAATCTGATTGATGAATTGTTCATCAAGGTCTCTTGAAATGATAAAAGAAGGTTAGTGACTCTACTCCAAGATTGCGTTGCTTGTGTTCATGATGGAAAAAGTTGACACGCATTTTCGTAGAAAAAAAAATTTGCACTGTTCTTATTGATGTCAATTGCATATTTTTTTCAGTCATATGTTCATATGTATTTAGTTTTAACTTTTGTTGTAACTGGGCGTTTGTTTTGTTTTTTTAGCTTGACTTGTGTTTGATGCAACATGCTCACACACGCTAGCCTGTATCACCGAAATGATGCCTTGAATTCCTCTCCTCTCTATAGTATATATCCGTCAGATAGAGCACCCAACATACCTCACTCTAGTAATTCCTCTCCTCTCTTGCCTTTAGTTGCTTATTTTCAGGTATGGAACAGAAAGAGAGCATGACAAATCATTCATCGACCGCATGGCTGACAGAACAAGCAAGACGCTGAAAGTTCAACTGGTCGAAGATCTCGTTCAAAGACTGATTGCAAGGCAAGCGTGCATGTAAAAAGAAGGCCTGATGGAAAATGGGTAGTTCACAGTTTTGTGAGGGGCATAATCATGAGCTTTTACCAGCTCAAGCTAAAACTAGGCATGACTATATGAACTTTTGTGATGTGGTTTCTTCTGATATAATCTATGTTACGAACAAATATAAGTTGCCTCTCTTGCGCTTTTGTTGGAGTAAATCTGCAATATCAATTTTTACTGCTTGGGCGTGCCTTAATATCAGATGAAAGTTGTAACTTGATCCAGAATATCTGTTGTTTACTACGGATCATGTTAAGAAATGGTAGAAGGGTTTGGTGTTAAAAGATCTTGTAGAGGTGGTTGGTTGTATTGTAGTTCTGATTCTTTAGGCTACATGGTAAGTTGTAATGAGAGTATTGTAGTTTGTCATGAAAATTTTCAAATGTTCTTCATTTTCCATTAGTTCATATTTCCTTTATCGTCACTTTCTTTAGCTTCTTTCCTGCCAGTTAAAAGGAGGAATTCCTACATATAATCCCTGCAATTAAGATAAGTAGTCAAAATTTGTGCATTAGCAGACGCCATGATACTTTCTGATTTGAGTTTCCTTTAGTTCCTTGCTCATTTACAGGGAAGGAATGAATGAAGGACAAAAATCAAGGCATGATATAAATGTAATGGCTTTGATTCAGTTATATAAACTACATGATGCTATTTATGCTTTGTGAATTACGTCTCTTAAGAGATATTTATTAAGAGATTCAGTTCAATAGCTTCCTTGAGTATCTTTATGAGCTTTACTAATTTTTATAGGATTGAAATCATATGCTCTGCGCACACCTCTCATTTTTGCCACTCGAGCAAATAAAATTCATAACCTTCTTTATAAAAGAAGATACATGTGCTATTGAGCCATAAAGTTATTAGTAGTCATGGATAGGTTTTGCAAGGCACAATAAATCAGGTCACATTAGAGTTCCAAAAATCTGTAGTCTCTTGGTGGATTAATACTTCAAAAAGATCTTGCCTAAATTATATAGAGTTAAGGTGCAAATTTATTTTGAGAGTTTTCACTAAGCATTAGGCATTTGAAAGATTTTTTTTTTCTAGTTCAATATTACTCCAAAAGTTTGAAATCATAACAATTTTGAGTTGTGCTGTTAAAAAAACTACCGTTGATGTTTAAAATAATAACATAGACTGTTAATATTTTTAACGGCATGAAAAAAATTATTAAAATATTTAATCTTCTGGGATAACATTGAACTCAAAAAATTTTAGGTGTCTCGTACTCCTAAATAAAAACTTAGTTAACAAGTTTATACCTTAAACATGTTATATATAGTAGGCGTTTTTCTAATCATCATTCACTTGTGTATATATGTGAAAAAGGCAGTTTAAACTAATTCAAGCATTTTATGTTCAATTATTAATAACTCTAAATTTATATTGTCTACAGATAAATTTTCTAGTCAATGAAGCTTACAATAAACCCACTAATATATTATGTGGATGCATATGATCTTCCTGCTATTAGTTTTGTTTGCAACTTGTCTGCAGTGAACTTAAAATTTTAGAAAATTATTTGTACATGACTCAGAATTTGATGGTGTATACGTACGAAAATAAAATTTAAGAGAGCATATAATTAATGATTAGGAGGGTTTTTTTAATTAGTTTAAAGGCTGAGAATTTTATTTGTATGTTATTTAAAGTTTAACAGAATTTTGTGTGATTCATCTTAAATTTTTTGAAAATTATTTTTGTTATTTTCTCTGAAAATGCTACTTCTTTCCAATTTTATCATTATTAACTATATAATGATAGAGTTTTCAAAACTATTCTGTAGCTTACGTTATAAAAAAAAGGATAAATTTAGAAGAAAAAAAAGTTAACCTTACGAGATTGGCTATTTTGATAGAAACACTGTTTTCAGAAACTATCTTATATGTGTGTGTGTATTTGGACTGTGAAACTGTCTTACATCTGCGGTTAGAGGGCATTTGTATCCCTTTGTACTCACTCACCTAATTGCCCATATTGATTTAAATTTTAATAGCAAAACAGAATAAAGTGTCACTTTTGTATTTTTCTGGTATTTTTCTGGTTCCATGGTGTTGTGTTGATAAAAATATATATATATATATGAGGCTGATACAAGCATTTAAATAAGCTACTGATATCTAATAATTTTCTGAGTTATTTTGTTATTTGTAGTTGACTCTATTGTTATTCATAATAACTTGGATCTTTAATATAATATTCGAGTTAACTTATTTAGAAAGATTAAAAAATTAAATAAATTATTTTAAAAATTTATATTTATTATTTTCTCCAAACTAATTTTCTTAAATTATAAACAAGTACTACATCTGATTGTTAATATAAGACTCCAATCTATTTTATCTATCATATTTATTTATTATTTTCAATATAATTGTTATAGTAGTTGCACATGTTAAAAATTTCACCAATTGGTAGCTTTAACTAATATACTTTATTAGCAAGTTTAAAAAAATAACATCTATTTATTACAAATAACTAACCTAACTAATTTTTTTTAGTAAATTAGCTCTTATATTAAGAATTGAAAGTAGTATATAATATGTGATTGTAAATATATAATTTAATGATACACTCAAATATTTCATATGATGATATAATATAAGTTATTTAATTATAATTTATTTAACTTATTCAATGTCACTTTTGATTGACATTTTAATGTTAGTATGGACACATATATCTGGTGGCCAAAAATTAAAAAAACAAAATAGATGGGTCAATAGACCCCCACCCCCTTTTTCTTTTTGAATGAAGTCAAAATGATACAAATAATACTTTTTTTTTACAACGATATAAATAATGAAAATGCCTTGCTTTCCTTGCTTCTTTTAAAAGTGATAAATAAATTAAAAATAATAATTCTCATATGTAAATATGATTAAAATTGAAACCAAATTGGAAAATTCTTAAAATTAACCTATAATAAATTGAGGTAAAAAATTAACTTATAAATTTAGATGGCAAAAAAAAAAAACTGTAAAACTTAGGCAAGCGAAAAAATTACTTAGAATTAAAATAATTTCCTTACTGATTCTTTTTTTATTTGGCATTATTAGTGTCTCGAAAAGCTAAAACTAAACCTATCCGAAGAAAATTTCGGTGCGTCTCTGGTGGCAAGAAAGCCTTCGTCTTCCTCGTCCAATTCTGCGTTGAATTCTTTGTTGGAGGATCTAAATTTCTGAATGCAACTGAAGATGTCATGTTGCAGAGCTCCGTCACGGTATGTCTTCTGCCGATTTCCTTCGTTTTCTTCCGCGTCTACGTCTCCCTTCCTTATTTCTCCTTCACATGCCCTAACTGCCTGCCTCTGTTTACATTCCAATTCCACAAATCCTCAGAATATTGAAGAGGCTGTCTCTTCTTTTACTCGCCTGCTTCATGTGCGCCCCCCACCCTCTATATTCCAAATCACTAAGATCTTAGGATATGTTGCGAGGTTGAAACATTATGCTACAGCTATCTCCCTTTTTGCCCAAGCGGAATCTAAGGGATTCAAGCCATCTCTGGTTACGCTGAACATCTTGATTAATTGTTACTGCCATTTGTGTCAAATGCCTTCTGCTTTCTCTGCCTTAGGCAAGATTTTTAAGATGGGCTGTCAGCCAGATACGATTACTTTCAATACGCTAATGAAGGGCCTTTGCGTCAATGATGACGTTGGGAGGGCATTAGATTTTCATGATGATCTGACCGCAAAAGGTTTCCAGTTAAATGTTGTTAGCTACAACACACTGATGAATGGACTATGCAAGATTGGAAAAACAAGGGCTGCTGTTAAATTACTCCAAAACATGGGGAGAGGGCCCGTTAAGCCTGATTTAGTTTCTTATAATACAATTATTGATGGCTTTTGCAGAGAAAGGCTCATAGCTGAAGCCTATGATTTATTTCATGAAATGATTGATCATGGAATATCTCCTAATGTTGTGACCTACAACTCTCTCATAAGCGGTTTTTGTGTCCTGGATAAATGGTCAGAAGCAGCAAAATTGGTCAATGAAATGAGACTTAAAGACATTAACCCTGATGTGTGTACTTTTAGTATATTGGTCGATGCATTTTGTAAGAAAGGAAGTATGACTAAAGCTGAGGCTATGGTTGCCGCGATGATGAAGTGCGGTGAAAAACCTAATGATGTTACTTATAGCAGTTTAATGGATGGGTACTGTTTGATTAATAATGTTTTTGAGTCAAAAAGACTATTCAATAAGATGGTCAAAAGTGGTTTGGCTCCTTGTGTTATTAGCTATACCATTTTAATTAATGGACTCTGTAAAATAAAGATGGTTGATGAGGCCATGAATCTTTTTAAAGAAATGCGTCGTAAAAGCTTTATTCCCAACGTTGTCACTTACAGCTCCCTTGTTGACGGTTTGTTCAAGTCAGGTAGAATCTTTGATGTGCAAGATATTATTTATGAGATGCATGATGGAGGTTGTGCCCCAAATATAGTATTTTATAATACCTTGTTAGATGGATTGTGCAAAAGTCACCATCTTGACCAGGCAATTTCATTATTCAGGCAAATTGTTAAACAAGGAATTCGGCCTAATACTTACACATATACCATACTTATTGATGGTTTGTGCGAGGGTAACAGATTAAATGATGCACGGCAGATTTTCCAACATCTTTTGGTTAATGGTCATCCTTTGAATGTGCCAGCATATAATGCTATGATCAAAGGACTTTGTAAAGAGCATTTGTATGATGAAGCGAAGGCTTTGCTTTATAAAATGCAAGAGAATGGGTGCTCGCCCGATTTTGTAACTTTTGAAACAATTATTATACCTCTTTTGGAAAAAGGTGAGAATGATGAGGCAAAGAATCTGATTGACGAATTGTTCATCAAGGTCTCTTGAAATGATAAAGGAAGGTTAGTCACTCTACTCCAAGATGGTGTTACTTGTATTCATGATGGAAAAAGTTGACAAGCATTTTGTAAAATGAAGATGGTTGATGAGGCCATTAATCTCTTTAAAGAAATGCGCTGCAAATACTTTATTCCCGACATTGTCACTTACAACTCCCTTGTCAATGGTTTGTTCAAGTCAGGTAGAATCTCTAATGTGCAAGATATTATTTATGAGATGCAGGATAGAGGTTGTGCCCCAAACATAGTATTTTATAGTGTTCAAGAAGATTCAAGTTGAGGTTATTGGTGCAGTTGCTTGTCATCCTAAAGCTGAAAGACAGGATGATGCAGGCATTACTTACAAGGTTCATGATATGGAAAAGAATCAAGACTTCATTGTTGTGTGGAATGAAATTAAATCTGAAGTGTCATGCATATGTCGGTTATTTGAATATAGAGGTTTTCTTTGTCGGCATGCATTGATTGTTCTTCAATATTCTGGCCTTTCGGTAATCCCATCCCGATATATCTTGAAACGGTGGACAAGAGATGCTAAAGATGGAGAAATTGGAGAAGAATCTGAACATGTACTAGCTAGGGTACAACGATACAATGATCTATGTCAGCAAGCAATGAAGTTGGGTGAAGAGGGATCTCTATCTCAAGGCAGTTACAGTATTGCATTCCATGCATTACGTGAAGCATACAAAAGTTGTGTGACTGTGAACAATTCTAGCAAGAGTCCTGCCGAAGTTGTCATGTCAGCTAGTCACAGTCAGTTCTCTGCTGAAGAAGATACCCAGAGTAGAAATATCGCAAGACAAAGAGAAGAATCCAACTAAAAAGAAAAAGGTTCTTTTTTTTTTTTGGGTCTTTTGTTTGCTTCAGATCACATATACATATCTCTGTTGTATTGAGTTTATATCATGACCTCTTTGAATTGCAGCTGAACTCGGATTCTGAAGTCATGACAGTGGGTGCACAAGATAACATGCAGCAAATGGTTAGTCCTCCTATGCTTGTTAATCTCTAAAATTGTTCAATTTTATATTTCAAGGTGGGGTGTGTGTAGAAGAAAGTCAGGCTACGCGGGGGAATATTTATTTAAGGCGAACAAAAATAGAAATATTGAAGTTTAAAATAGAAGCTCTATCTTAGTTAAAAGGATGTATTTGTCTGCTTAGTTTGAAGTGTCTTCAGTTAATTGGAAATTTGTTTTGTAGGACAAATTCAACGCAAGGGCAGTAACCCTTGATGGTTACTATGGCTCTCAACAGAGCGTTCAGGGGATGGTAAGCGTATGATACTCTTCAGTTTACCTTTGGTGGTTTCACATTAGTACCTGGACTAATGTATTTGTTTGTTTGATTATTCAGTTGAACTTGATGGGACCAACACGTGATAGTTATTATGGGAATCAACAGACAATTCAGGGGCTGGTGCGTCTTTGAAATTGTGATTAATTATGGAAAGTATTTAGCGCAAGTGCAAAATTTTAGAAACTCTGTTGTTTGAATACAGGGACAGTTAAGTTCCATACCAACAAGCCAGGATGGTTACTATGGTGCTCATCAAAGCATGCCTGGTCTGGTAAGGTTTGCTTGCGCTGAACATGAATTTCCTGCCATTGTAATATTTTTGCTGAACTTCATAAATTGTTCCAAAATTTGCAGGCACAGCTTGATTTTTTCCGGGCATCGACAAATTTCACTTATGGCATTCGGGTGAGTTTGGTAAATTAAGTTACTTCCTAGATAGTATTCACTTCCAGACTAACACTATCATGATGGCTCGCTCCTTGTGGCAGGATGATCCAAATGTAAGACCGACACAATTGCATGAGGACCCATCAAGACATGCATGAGTATATGTAGCATGATACAGAATATCTGTTGTTTATTATAGATCTTGTTAATAAATGGTTAAAGGGTGTAGTGATAAAGATATGGTAGAGGTGGTTGGTTGTATTGTGGTTCTGATTCTTTAGGCGGCATGTTAAATTGTAATCAGTATTGTCGTTTGTCATAAAATTTTTTAAATGTTCTTCATTTTCCACTGATTCATATTTAGTTTATCATCACTTTCTTTAGCTTCTTTTCTCCAAGATAACTAGTCAAAATTTGTGCGTTAGCGTTTAGTGGATGCCCGAATGGTTACTGATTTGAGTTTCCCTTTTTAATGATGAATTTATTTCCAATTTTCTCTTCAAAAATAGGTAAAATTACAAGATTGCCTATATTTAGATAGAAACACTATTTTTAGAAATTGCTGTATCATTTCGTACTCTCACCAATTGCCCATATTGACTAAAATTTTAATAGTATAACAGAATATTTTTGTTCCCATAAAAATTATTTGTAGGTTGATACAAGTATTTAAATAATAAGTTGATATCTAACAATTTTCTCCTTTCAAAGAGTTAATTTGTTATTTGTTCTTGATTACTGCAAAAGTAAATTATTAACTATAGTACTGCATTTTGATTTTTTATACCCAATTATAGTATTTTGATTGCCGAAAAAAATTTCGGTTATAATAAAGAAACCGAAATACATATATAATATATTTTTATTATAATAAATGTGTATATGAGTGTCTGTGAGCTTAAACGATGGGTTAAAATATATTTATATTTAATTATAATAAATCATATTGAATAATTAAATATCATTAATTTGTGGTTCTAATTGTAATTTATTATGTTTTTCTTATTTAAAATAACCTTTTTGGTTATTAATGGAATTGAAGCATCTTAGTTAATTCGATTTTGGTTAATGTGATTAATTGGTTTCAATTCAATATTTAACTTTTGTTGTAACTGGGCGTTTGTTTTGTTTTTTTAGCTTGACTTGTGTTTGATGCAACATGCTCACACACGGTAGCCTGTATCACCGAAATGATGCCTTGAATTCCTCTCCTCTCTATAGTATATATCCGTCAGATACAGCACCCAACATACCTCACTCTAGTAATTCCTCTCCTCTCTTGCCTTTAGTTGCTTATTTTCAGGTGTCGAACAGAAAGAGAGCATGACAAATCATTCCATCGACCGCATGGCTGACAGAACAAGCAAGACGCTGAAAGTTCAACTGGTCGAAGATCTCGTTCAAAGACTGATTGCAAGGCAAGCGTGCATGTAAAAAGAAGGCGTGATGGAAAATGGGTAGTTCACAGTTTTGTGAGGGGGCATAATCATGAGCTTTTACCAGCTCAAGCTGAAACTAGGCATGACTATATGAACTTTTGTGATGTGGTTTCTTCTGATATAATCTATGTTACGAACAAATATAAGTTGCCTCTCTTGCGCTTTTGTTGGACTAAATCTGCACTATCAATTTTTACTGCTTGGGCGTGCCTCAATATCAGATGAAAGTTGTAACTTGATCCAGAATATCTGTTGTTCATTACGGATCATCTTAATAAATGGTAGAAGGGTTTGGTGTTAAAAGATCTTGTAGAGGTAGTTGGTTGTATTGTAGTTCTGATTCTTTAGGCTGCATGTTAAGTTGTAACGAGAGTATTGTAGTTTGTCATGAAAATTTTCAAATGTTCTTCATTTTCCATTAGTTCATGTTTCATTTATCGTCACTTTCTTTGGCTTCTTTCCTCCCAGTTAAAAGGAGGAATTCCTACATATACTCCCTGCAATTAAGATAAGTAGTCAAAATTTGTGCATTAGCAGATGCCATGATACTTTCTGATTTGAGGTTCCTTTAGTTCCTTGCTCTTTTACAGAGAAGGAATGAATGAAGGACAAAAATCAAGGCATGATATAAATGTAATGGCTTTGATTCAGTTATATAAACTACATGATGCTATTTATGCTTTGTGAATTACGTCTCTTAAGAGATATTTATTAAGAGATTCAGTTCAATAGCTTCCTTGAGTATCTTTATGAGCTTTACTAATTTTTATAGGATTGAAAATCATATGCTCTGCGCACACCTCTCATTTTTGCCACTCGAGCAAATAAAATTCATAACCTTCTTTATAAAAGAAGATACATGTGCTATTGAGCCATAAAGTTATTAGTAGTCATGGATAGGTTTTGCAAGGCACAATAAATCAGGTCACATTAGAGTTCCAAAAATCTGTAGTCTCTTGGTGGATTAATACTTCAAAAAGATCTTACCTAAATTATATAGGGTTAAGGTGCAAATTTGTTTTGAAAGTTTTCACTTAGAAGCATTAGGCATTTGAAAGATTTTTTTCTAGTTCAATATTACTCCAAAAGTTTGAAATCATAACAATTTTGAGTTGTGCTGTTAAAAAAACTACCGTTGACGCTTAAAATAATAACATAGACTGTTAATATTTTTAACGGCATGCAAAAAATTATTAAATATTTAACCTTCTGGGATAACATTGAACCCAAAAAAAATTTTAGGTCTCTCGTACTCCTAAATAAAAACTTAGTTAACAAGTTTACACCTTAACCATGTTATATATAGTAGGCGTTTTTCTAATTATCATTCACTTGTGTATGTGTGTGAAAAAGGCAGTTTAAACTAATTCAAACATTTTATGTTAAATTATTAATAACTCTAAATTTTATATTGTCTACAGATAAATTTTCTAGTCAATGAAGCTTACAATAAACCCACTAATATATTATGTGGATGCATATGATCTTCCTGCTATTAGTTTTGTTTGCAACTTGTCTGCAGTGAACTTAAAATTTTAGAAAATTATTTGCACATTACTCAGAATTTGATGGTGTATACGTACGAAAATAAAATTTAAGAGAGCATATAATTAATGATTAGGAGGGTTTTTTTAATTAGTTTTAAAAGTCTGGAATTTTATTTGTATGTTATTTAAAGTTTAACAGAATTTTGTGTGATTCATCTTAAATTTTTTGAAAATTATTTTTGTTATTTTCTCTGAAAATGCTACTTCTTTCCAATTTTATCATTATTAACTATATAATGATAGAGTTTCCAAAACTATTCTGTACTCTGTAGCTTACGTTATAAAAAAAAGGATAAATTTAGAAAAAAATAGTTAACGTTACGAGATTGGCTATTTTGATAGAAACACTGTTTTCAGAAACTATCTTTATATATATATATATATATATATATATATTTTGGACTGTGAAATTGTCTTACATCTACTTTTAGAGAGCATTTGTATCCTTTTGTACTCACTCACCTAATTGCCCATATTGATTTAAATTTTAATAGCAAAACAGAATAAAGTGTCACTTTTGTATTTTTCTGGTTCCATAGTGTTGTGTTGATAAAAAAAAATATGAGGCTGATACAAGCATTTAAATAAGCTACTGATATCTAATAATTTTCTCCTTCTAAAGAGTTATTTTGTTATTTGTAGTTGACTCTATTGTTATCCATAATAACTTGGATCTTTAATATAATATTCGAGTTAACTTATTTAGAAAGATTAAAAAAAATTAAATAAATTATTTTAAAAATTTATATTTATTATTTTCTCCAAACTAATTTTCTTAAATTATAAACAAGTACTACATCTGATTGTTAATATAAAACTCCAATCTATTTAATCTATGATATTTATTTATTATTTTCAATATAATTATTATAGTAGTTGCACATGTTAAAAATTTCACCAATTGGTAGCTTTAGCTAATATACTTGATTAGCAAGTTTAAAAAAGATAACATCTATTTATTACAAATAACTGACCTAATTAATTTTTTTAGTAAACTAGCTCTTATATTAAGAATTGAAAGTAGTATATAATATGTGATTGTAAATATATAATTTAATGATACACTCAAATATTTCATATGATGATATAATATAAGTTATTTAATTATAATTTATTTAACTTATTCAATGTCACTTTTGATTGACATTTTAATGTTAGTATGGACACATATATCTGGTGGCCAAAAATTAAAAAAACAAAATAGATGGGTCAATAGACCCCCACCCCCTTTTTCTTTTTGAATGAAGTCAAAATGATACAAATAATACTTGTTTTTTTTTACAACGATATAAATAATGAAAATGCCTTGCTTTCCTTGCTTCTTTTAAAAGTGATAAATAAATTAAAAATAATAATTCTCATATATAAATATGATTAAAATTGAAACCAAATTGGAAAATTCTTAAAATTAACCTATAATAAATTGAGGTAAAAAATTAACTTATAAAATTTAGATGGCAAAAAAAAAAAAGTAAAACTTAGGCTAGCGAAAAAATTACTTAGAATTAAAATAATTTCCTTACTGATTCTTTTTTTATTTGGCATTATTACTGTCTCGAAAAGCTAAAACTAAACCTATCCGAAGAAAATTTCGGTGCGTCTGTGGTGGCAAGAAAGCCTTCGTCTTCCTCGTCTAAATTTCTGAATGCAACTGAAGATGTCATGTTGCAGAGCTCCGTCACGGTATGTCTTCTGCCGATTTCCTTCGTTTTCTTCCGCGTCTACGTCTCCCTTCCTTATTTCTCCTTCACATGCCCTAACTGCCTGCCTCTGTTTGCATTCCAATTCCACAAATCCTCAGAATATTGAAGAGGCTGTCTCTTCTTTTAATCGCCTGCTTCATATGCGCCCCCCACCCTCTATATTCCAAATCACTAAGATCTTAGGATATGTTGCGAGGTTGAAACGATATGCTCCAGCTATCTCCCTTTTTGCCCAAGTGGAATCTAAGGGATTCAAGCCATCTCTGGTTACGCTGAACATCTTGATTAATTGTTACTGCCATTTGGGTCAAATGACTTTTGGTTTCTCTGCCTTAGGCAAGATTCTTAAGATGGGCTGTCAGCCAGATACGATTTCTTTGACCACACTAATGAAGGGCCTTTGCATCAATGATGACGTTGGGAGGGCATTAGATTTTCATGATGATCTGACAGCAAAAGGTTTCCAGTTAAATGTTGTTAGCTACAACACACTGATGAATGGACTATGCAAGATTGGAAAAACAAGGGCTGCTGTTAAATTACTCCAAAACATGGGGAGAGGGCCCGTTAAGCCTGATTTAGTTTCTTATAATACAATTATTGATGGCTTTTGCAGAGAAAGGCTCATAGCTGAAGCCTATGATTTATTTCATGAAATGATTGATCATGGAATATCTCCTAATGTTGTGACCTACAACTCTCTCATAAGCGGTTTTTGTGTCCTGGATAAATGGTCAGAAGCAGCAAAATTGTTTAATGAAATGAGACTTAAAGACATCAACCCTGATGTGTGTACTTTTAATATATTGGTCGATGCATTTTGTAAGAAAGGAAGTATGACTAAAGCTGAGGCTATGGTTGCCATGATGATGAAATGCGGTGAAAAACCTAATGATTTTACTTATAGCAGTTTAATGGATGGGTACTGTTTGATTAATAATGTTTTTGAGTCAAAAAGACTGTTCAACAAGATGGTCAAAAGTGGTTTGGCTCCTTGTGTTATTAGCTATACCATTTTAATTAATGGACTCTGTAAAATGAAGATGGTTGATGAGGCCATGAATCTTTTTAAAGAAATGCGTCGTAAAAGCTTTATTCCCAACATTGTCACTTACAGCTCCCTTGTTGACGGTTTGTTCAAGTCAGGTAGAATCTCTGATGTGCAAGATATTATTTATGAGATGCATGATAGAGGTTGTGCCCCAAATATAGTATTTTATAGTACCTTGTTGGACGGATTGTGCAAAAGTCACCATCTTGACCAGGCAATTTCATTATTCAGGAAAATTGTTAACCTAGGAATTCGACCTAATACTTACACATATACCATACTTATTGATGGTTTGTGCGAGGGTAACAGATTAAATGATGCACGGCAGATTTTCCAACATCTTTTGGTTAATGGTCATCCTTTGAATGTGCCAGCATATAATGCTATGATCAAAGGACTTTGTAAAGAGCATTTGTATGATGAAGCGAAGGCTTTGTTTTATAAAATGCAAGAGAATGGGTGCTCGCCCGATTTTGTAACTTTTGAAACAATTATTATACCTCTTTTGGAAAAAGGTGAGAATGATGAGGCAAAGAATCTGATTGACGAATTGTTCATCAAGGTCTCTTGAAATGATAAAAGAAGGTTAGTCACTCTACTCCAAGATTGCGTTACTTCTGTTTTTACTGATGTCAATTTCATATTTTTTTTAGTCATATGTTCATATGTATCTAGTTTTAACTTTTGTTGTAACTGGTCGTTTCTTTTGTTTTTTTGGCTTGACATGTGTTTGATCAGCACGCTCACACACGCTAGCATGTATCACCGAAATGATGCCTTGAATTCCTGTTGACGGTTTCAGGTATGGAACAGAAAGAAAGCATGACAAATCATTCAATCGACCACATGGCTGACAGAACAAGCAAGATGCTGAAAGTTCAACTGGTCGAAGATCTCATTCAAAGAGTGATTGCAAAGCAAGCGTGCATGTTAAAAGAAGGCCTCATGGAAAATGGGTTATTCACAGTTTTGTGAAGGGGCATAATCATGAGCTTTTACCAGCTCAAGCTAAAAGCAGGCATGACTATATGAACTTTTGTGATGTCTTTACGAACAAATATAAGTTGCCTTTCTTGCGCCATTGTTGGGGTATATCTGCATTATCAATTTTTACTGCTTGGGCGTGCCTTAATATCAGGTGAAAGTTGTAACTTGATACAAAATATCTGTTGTTTATTACGGATCATGTTAATAAATGGTAGAAAGGTTTGGCGTCAAAGATCTTGTAGAGGTGGTTGGTTGTACTGTAGTTCTGATTCTTTAGGCTACATGTTAATTTGTAATCGGAATATGGTAGTTCATGGTTGTCAAATCGTGATACAAATTGTGCATCGAAAAGCTAATTTTTTGAATCTTGAATTGTACCGTATCGTGAATCGTAAGGTTCATGAACAATTATTAAGGATAATATATAAATAATTTTCATATGAAAAAAATATTAGAAGTTTGTAAATATTTGGTATAAACTGCCCAAAAAAAAAAGCCAACATATGAAATTTTAAAAATAAATAGTCCCCAAAATCAATTCAAAAATTAAACTCCTAACTTAAAAAAACTAAAATCACTATACATAAAATTCAATTTATCATTCATCATCTCCAAGATCAATGTCACTCAATTCGTCATCATCCTCCATTAACATTGTCGCTTCTTCATCGTCCTCCTCTTCTCCATCTTCAACATTATCTTCATTTTTGTTCTCTTGTTCTACTATAGATTTCCCTTTGCTATTGGTTTTGGCATTCAAATTTCTTGGACCTTAGGGGAAAAAACTCAATAAGTATGGTGGTATACATTTAAACTAAAATCAACCTAAGTTTAATTTTAAAATATTATACCTCTCTTTCTCTTCTTACTTAGAGCTCCTTCATCAAGAGTGAAACTCTCATATATGTCCACCCATGACCCATCCACTGGCAAGCACGGGTTTTCTTTTTTAGTGATCCACTCATCATCAGATTCAATATCTGATAAACAAGTTAGATCATATGTTTCTCCTTTTTCCTCTCTAATCTTCTGTCTCATTTCAAGTTGAAGGTTGTACTTGACAAATACAAGTGCATTTAACCTTTGTTGTTCCAAGCGATTTCTTCGCTTAGTATGCACTTGATCAAATATGCTCCAATTTCTTTCACATCCAGTAGTACTACATGTGAGACCCAAAATTCTCATAGCTATACTTTGTAACTCCTTGCCTTCTCCTCCATAACTTCCCACCAAAAAGCTAAAAAAATAATTATTATGAATGTTTCTCAAAATTCAAATTTATTATTATGGTTAAAAATTAAATTCTTATAAATAGTATAGACTAGAGAATGATACCAGGTTGCTTTTTGTTTCTAGTATCTATTGCCATGTTCCTTCCGAAAAGCCCCTTGGCAGACTTGAATGCTTCAAGTTGTTGATCACTAAAAATCTTGTCTTTCTATCTGGAATCATTTTCTCAATAGTTTCATATAAACCAAAATAAACTTCTTGAATTGCATTAAATTTTTCATCATAATGGAACCAAAAAAATAATGAATAAGTTATCTTTTTCTAACATACAATTATTAAATAATAAATATTTAAGTTTTAAATTTTAAATTATATAAAACTTACTCAGGATTAAGAAAGTAAATAGCCACATGGAGGGGTCTATGTAGTTGCAAATTCCAACGAGTATCAATAATCTTCCATATTTTTTTGTATCTTGATTCCTTCTTTTCAAAATTGTCAGCAATCTCTTCCTTGGCTCTATCCATTGCTTCATAAATATATGGCATAGCAGGTTTGGAGTCACCATCTACAAGTCTCAAAACTTTTACAAGCGGACTCACACACTTTAAGCAATATTTGATAGAACTCCAAAATCTAGAGTCCCCAAAAATCATGTCTGCCACTTGCTTACCCTCACTTTTACTAGCAAAAGAACTAGAAACCCAATCATCTGAAGCAAACATGGTTCGAAAAGCATTCTTTTGCTGCAATATGCAACTTAGTGTAAGATAAGTTGTTGCAAATCTTGTTACTGCTAGTCTAGCTAATTCTCTTCCCTTGGAATATTTTCTATACAAGTTAAGGACCCATGCATGCCTATAAGTGAATGTTGTTATTTTCTTCACATTAGTGATAGTATTATAAAATATTGGAAGTTGCCCAATATCTTCAAGGACTAAAGCAAGGCAGTGAGCCGCACAAGGGTACCGAAATAATTTTGTTCTCTTCTCTTCTAACATCTTCCCCGCTGCCACGAGATTTGAGGCACCATCTGTCACAACTTGCACCACATTATCCTCCCCAATTTTCTCAATCATATTGTCTAGTAATTCAAACATTTGTTTAACATCTTTGATCACACTACTTGTGTCTACCGACTTTAAGAAAACTGTCCCACTAGGACTGTTAGCTAAAAAATTAGTAAGAGATCTCCATTTACCATCAGTCTAACCATCACACATCAAAGTATAACACCATTTCTCCCATTCCCTCTTATACTTCACTAAACTTTCTTGAATTTTATCAACAGTTTTTTTCAAGTGAGAAACTCTCACCTCATGATAACTTGGAGGTTTCAAAGCCCTACCATATTCACTAACAGATTTTAACATTTGAATAAACAGTCGACTTCTAATCAAATTGAATGGTAAAGCATTACCATAGATGCATTTACAAATATCTTGAATCACTACCTCTCTATCTTTTACCATCTCATTCATTGTTTTCTGTTTGGTAATTTTTGATGTCCCTTTCGTCCCCTTAGCATCTTAAGCAGCTACTTCTTTAAATATTTCAACACTATTAACATCTTTACTTTTTTTCTCTCTCTATTTTTTAGCATTTTAACAAACAACCTTTTAACTTCATCGGGAACGCTTGTACAAGGACTCACATTCTTTCTTGTTCCAACCAAATGATGTTTCATCCTGGCTACCCCACCCCAACATTGATGTGAACAATATTTTCATTTAACCATAAGTATATGGGGAGGAACACTTTTACAATGTTTCCATGTAATGTCAACTTCCTTTTTTTTTCATTCTGATTCTGACTCATTTTTCCCACCAATATAATATCCAATAAAAAAAATAGAGTAAAAAAAATTACCAAGTAGGAGTAGCAGAGAAGAGAAAGAACCAGGAAAGAGAAGACTTCAATATTCAAACTTCAAAGCTTCCAAATTTCAGCCACATGGAACCAGCAGAAGAGACGAAAGCGTGGGGCAGAAGATATAAAGTGTAAAACGTAAAAAAGATGAGTGGGGGGAATAAAAAAGTAGGGTTTGGCAATTACCTCCCTTATCTAATCAATAAAAAACGAAAAAAATTAAAAAAAAATAAACGGAGAAGGTTTTACCGTGTTAGGTAGCGCACAAATCCGAGTCGGATCTGCGTGACCCGACATTGCCTAGAATCACACGATCCACCAGTGTCGCATGATTCGGGTGATTTCAGTGTGAATCGCGTGATTCCAGGCCCTTAAGATACACTGGGAGATTTGTATCTCCCGGTGTCCATTTTGTAACGAATCATGCGATTCGTATCCCGAATCGCACGATTCTAATAACATTGTTGTAGTTTATCATGAAAATTTTCAAATGTTCTTCATTTTCCATTAGTTCAGATTTCATTTATTGTCACTTTCTTTGGCTTCTTTCCTCCCAGTTAAAAAGTGGAATTCCTACATACACTCCTTGCAATTAAGATAAGCAGTCAAAATTTGCGCATTAGCAGAGGCTATGATACTTTCTGATTTTGAGTTTCCTTTATTTCCTTCCTCATTTACAGCGAAGAAATGAATGAAGGACTAAAATCAAGGTATGAAATAAATGTGATGGCTTTGATTCAGTTATATAAACTGCATGATGCCATTTATGCTTCATGAATTACATTTCTGTAGAGATATTATTTATTAAGAGATCAGTTCAATAGCTTCCTTGAGTATCTTTATGAGCTTTACTAATTTTCATAGGATTGAAGATCATATGCTCTCTGCACACCTCTCATTTTTGCCACTCTAGCAAATAAAATTCATAACCTTCTTTGTAAAAGGAGATACTTGTGTTATTGAGCCACAAAGTTATCAGCTGTCATGGATAAAGTTTTCCAAGACATAATAAATCAGGTCATATTAGAGTTGCAAAAATCTATAGTCTATTGGTGGATTACTACTTCAAAAAAAATACTACCAAAATTATATAGGATTAAGGTGTAAATTTGTCTTTGAGAATTTTCAACCGGGAGCATTAGACATTTGAAATTTTTTTTTAGTTCAATATTACTGTGAAATTTTGAAATCATAACAATTTGGACCCATATTGTTAAAAAATTAATGCTGACCCTTAAAATAATAATATTGACCGTTAATATTTTTAACTGTATGGGACAAAAATTGTTACAATGTTAAACCTTTGGGGATAATATTGAATCCAAAAAAATTTTCAGGTGTCTCTTACTCCTAAATAAAAACTAATTTAACAAATTTAGAACTTAACCCTGTTATATATACTAAGCATTTTTCTAATCATCATTCACTTGTGTATGTATGTGAAAAAGGCAGTTTAAACTAATTCAAGCATTTTATGTTAAATTATTAATAACTCTAAATTTTATGTTATTTATAGATAAATTTTTTAATCAATGAAACTTACAATAAACCCACTAATATATTATGTGGATGCATGTGATCCTCCTGCTATTTGTTTTGTTTGCAACCTGTCTACAGTGAACTTAAAATTTTAGAAAATTATTTGCATATATCTCAGAATTTGATGTTATATACGTACGAAAATAAAATTTAAGAGAGCATATAATTAATGATTAGGAAGGTTTTTTTAATTAGTTTTAATGGTTGAGAATTTTATTTGTACGTTATTTAAAGTTCAACGGAATTTTGTGTGATTTATCTTAATTTTCTTAAATTATTTTTTTATTTTTTGTGAAAATGGTACTTCGTTCCAATTTTATCATTGTTAACTATATGATATGATGACAGAGTTTGCAAAACTATTGCGTAGCTTACGTTATTGGGCGGAAAAAAAGAGGATAAATTTAGAAAACAGAATAGTTAACATCACGAGATTACCTATTTTGATAGAAATACTGTTTTCAGAAACTATCTTATATTTGTTTTTTTCCTTTTTTTTTTTCTTTTTTGACTGTGAAATTGTCTGGCGTCTGCGATTAGAGAATATTTGTATCCCTTTGTACTCACACACTAAATTACCCATATTAATTTAAAGTTTTAATGGCAAAACAGAATAAAGTTAGATTTTTAATATAAAAAAAGAAAATCTCATTACTATTTTGTAATAATGTGTCACTTTTGTAATTTTCTGGTTCCATAACGTTGTGTTGATAAAAAAATATATATATATATATATATATATATATATATATATATAGGCTGATACAAGCATTTAAATAAGTTACTGGTATCTAATAATTTTTTCAAACCCAACCCATGAGTTGACCGGTTCGGGCCAGCTCATGAGCTTTTGCCCGTTTAACTAAAATATAATTTTTTTATTTGTTTTGCATATTTTATCAAAATAATAAAATGAAACAATAAAATTACTAATAAAAGGTATAAATATGAATAAAAATAAGTTACAAATATAAACATCATTATGTCTAAACATCTATCACAGTGTAATAGAGTTTACTGAATAAAAAAATTAAATAAAAGACATACATAAACAACTAAATAAATATTAAGTTCAGTAAATAATTACAATACAGATAATCTAATTTAATTATAAATAATTAACAAAAAATTTTAACTAACAAATATAGTATATATAAAAAATAATTATTTGTCCTACAGACAAAAAAGAAAAGAGTCAATCATTACTAGTTTTAAATTTGTTTCTAACTATAAAAATAATATAGATCTTTATTTTAATTCAAAAGATTCTTTAATCTATTCTATTTCAAGTATACAAAATATACGAGAATGATAGATAAAGACTGTAAAATTACAAATACAGTATTTTAATAGGTTTTGACAACTTACAAATACATTTTTGTGAATATACTCCTCTGATCCTAAGTATAAAACAGTATACATACTAGTACAATAGTCTTATATTTAGGACTGAAGGAGTACTTAGTTTTAAATTTTGCAATTTTCACGTTTTTTTGGTTATTTTTCCAACAACTATGATGATTTTTTTTTGTGAATACTATTTGTGTGAGTGGATGACATAAGTGAAACTAAGAGTATACTACGTGTAAAATGTTAGGATTTTCCTTTTTATCTTAAAAAAATATAGAAACTTTTTTTTAAAAAATGGTGACGAGATTAAACGGGCCGATCCGTTTATTTTTCGGCTCTACAGGATTGGCTCTTTTAAGCCTGACTTCTTTTTAAAAGCTTCAAAATACAAATTCAGCCCTCAACTTAAACGAATTTAAACAGGTAGGCATGACGGGCTTGACCTGTTTTTTCGACTCTAAATATAAGTATGGACACATATATCTCGTGGCCAAAAATTAAAACTGCAAAATAGAGACATCATGCCAATAGACCCCCACCCCCGTTTTCTTTTCGAATGAAGTCAAAATGATACAGATAATAATTTTTTTTGACAACCATATAAATAATAAAAATGCTTGCTTTCCTTGCTTCTTTTAAAAGTGATACATAAATTAAAAATAATAATTCTCACATATGAACATGATTTAAATTGAAACCAAAGGGGAATATTCTTAAAATTAACATATAATAAATTGAGGCAAAAAATTAACTTATAAAACTTAGGTTGGCCAAAAAAAAAAACTATAAAAGGTGAAAAACAAAAACAAAATCATTAAATCAGTAATAAGAGGGCGAGGGATTCTGAATCTTCATACGGTAGAACCTATCCGAAGAAAATGTCGGTGCGTCTCTAGTGGCAAGAACGCCTTCGTCTTCCTCGTTGAATTCTTTGTTGAAGGATCTGAATTTCTGAATGCAACTGAAGATGTCATTTTGCAGAGCTCCTTCACGGTACGTCTTCTTCCGATTTCCTTCGTTTTCTACTGCGTCTATGTCTACCTTCCTTCTTTCTCCCCTGCATGCCCTTACTCTCCATTTCTGTTTCCATTCCAATCGTACCAATCCTCAGAACATTGAAGAGGCTCTCTCTTCTTTTAATCACTTGCTTCATGTGCGCCGCCAATCCTCGATACTCCAAACTAATAAGATCTTAGGAGCTCTTGCAAAGTTGAAACATCATCGAACAGCTATCTCCCTTTTGGCATAAGTGGAATCTAAGGGATTCACGCCTTCTGTGGTTACGCTGAGCATTTTAATTAATTGTTACTGCCATTTGGAT